ACTAGCAGCCAGGGTGTTGAACCGGATGTTGTATTTCCGGATGTTCTCGGTTTCCTTCATCTTCAGATTACCGAGAGAATCTTCGGCCTCGCCTTGGGCGTCGTAAACGCCGAAATTATCCTGAAGCTCCTTTACAAGGGCTTTGAAGGAGGATGTCCAGGCCGGCAGCGAGTCGAGATCCGGGTCGAGGATATCAGGGACAAACCATTCTTTGGCTGACCCACTGAGATAGGAAAGGGTGTAGTTCACCTTCCGTTGGTCGGTGAAGTACTTGGGACGGTCATTGAAGACCAGGGCGAGATTGACGAAGAACGTCTTGAGTTTTCGGGGGTCCGAACCGTCGAATACTTCGGGCTCCTTGACTTTGCTCTTGGATTCAGAGCTATCAGAGGGACGGCCGAGAGCGGCGAGAACGGTGCCAAGGGTCTCAATGGAGCCCTTGAATCCCGAGAGGAGTTCCAACATAGCACGTTGCTCGTTGGGGATGTCAGGAGATATGGGAGAGCGAGGTCCACCAGGTCCACCAGGACCGCCGGGACCGCCGGGACCACCAGGACCACCAGGTCCACTGGGGTCACCAGGCTCACCACGCGGTAAACCGCCGGAATCGTCATCCAGATCGTCGTTATTGTTGTCGGCACCCGGGTCGTCGGGGTCGACAGGAGGGTCTTGATCGTCGTGATCACCGGTGTCCAAATCGAAGTGAGGAGGTGGGTCACGAGGAGATTCAGAAGCAGCTCGACGTTGGGGTTGTTTTCCCGTACGGCGGGCTATGGCTTGGAGAATTGGAGAATCAATTCGAGTAGTTGACCGGCCCCGAGCCGGAGCGACCACGGGGGGTTGTCCACGGCGAGGGGTCAAGACTTGGACAGGTTGTCCGTCACCGGTGTACAAAGTGCTGTACTCAAATTGCTGATCTTCTTCCATGGCTTCAGGAAGAGTTGACGTAGTAGGAACTGTGGCTGGACCGAAACCGCGATTACGGCGACGTGGTTGACCGATGGCAGAGATAGAGTCGGAGAATGGGGCAAATGATTGGGCTGTAGTGAAGAAAGTGTTTTCTTCGGAGTTAGCTCTAGATTGAGCTCGAGTTTTCGGAGGCATAAAAAATGATATGTCAGTACGACGTTAACGGATTGAGTTTAATTATACTGTTAAGGTCATGTACACCGTGTAACCGTGCCAAGGCCACAGGGTGTCTAAGTGCGGAAGACGAATGGGACAGTAGTGAAGTTATTAACAACACCGCCGTTACGCCGTTAGTCCCCGGAGAGCGAGAGTAGAGAGAGAGGAGCTAAGTAGCAGCCAGGTCGGAGCGGCGGTATCGCCGATGACGAGGAGCGAACCAGAGAACGTCAAAGTCCTAAGGTCGAGGAGAACGTACTTCGAGGCGTTGAGCCTGAAGACTTAGAGAAGAGTTAAGTTGAGAAGGGAGATCTAAGTTGATAATTAAACTGAGGAACTACAGTAGCGTACAGGCAGTATTTATATCTACGGAACGGCGCATCGGTGCGGAGCGCTAGACTAACTACTAGGAGCTATACGAGTAGTACCTGCAGGGTAGAGTAAAAGACAATAAGGAGAGACTAGCACGAAAGAGTAAAAGACAATAATGAGAGACTAGAACGAAAGGATATGTGTAGCGAGAAAGAACAATAGGAAGAGATTACAATAAGAGCAGATCTTCGGAATACCGAGCGGCGGAATGGAGGCCCGCGGCATGGACTTGACACCCCTTCAAGGGTCATATCTCTCAATCCCAGCCACTACTAGGTCATTCCTGTCCTTGGTCGCGGTTCCCATAGCTCCCTTCGAGCTCCAGCCTGCTCCTAGCACGCTACAACATAAACTCATTATACCAAAACCTACCCTAAGACCAATTCTGACCCAGGTCTTACACATTCCGACTTGGCTGCTTCTAGCTCTTCACCTCTATACTCTCAATCTCCGGGGACTACCGACGTAATGGCGGTGTTGTTAATAGCTTCACTACTGTCCCATTTGACCCTCCACCCTTAGGCACCTTGTGGCCTCTGGCACGGCTTCACGGTGTACATGATCTTAACAACATCTTTGTTGATTTTTTCTGATATTGAGTTCTTGCTGCAGGTAATCTTTTTTGGAACAAATCAGAGAATGAGTCTCATAATCTGTTAACATAGGATTAAGCTCAGTTGATATAAAAGCAATTGTATTGTCTTGGTACCTGTTAATGTGGGATTAAGCTAATGGGTACCATCAGTAAGTGCAGGTATTCTAATATGTTACTGAGCTCACCTCAGTTGATATAAAAGCAACTGAGGGAGCTCAAGTACATCCATCTGCATGATCTACCTACAACTGTACACTATATAGTAATCATGATCAGCATATATGAATTGGGAAGGGTGTCTAGGAATGGTAAGGTCAAAGGTCAAAGCTGTATGTACAGAGTTTGTCCCAACAGCTTATTGTGCAGATAAGCGTGTTGTCAAATTAAAAGCTGATTGTCAGTCGGTCTGGCAAGCATAATATGGCAAGCAAGGTCATCACCATCTGTCAGAGATTCTCAGAAGTTGTCTCTGAGGAACAAATCCGACAACTATAATTTACGAAGCTGAATAAAATGAAGACTCGTCTTTATGTACATCGCTTCATGCCAATTTTAAGCGCCATAGTTCCTTTTTACTATTTAGTACACACTGAGGGCGCACCAAAATTTCCCACCCGTGAAAAAAGGGGGGAAATTTTTCGTAAAAAAAGCTGTTTATTGATTCGAAATATTACCCATTATTTGTCCGTAAAGCTATGAATATCCCAACTGATATTTGTCAGTTAATTTTGACCAAAAAAGGATTCCTTTTGCCTTTGATAATAGTATATATTTGCTTTGGCCATAAATAACCTTTGTCGCTCGATATAGATAATCTTTCACACTAGAGATAGATAATCTTTCATGCCTAGATTAAAATGTCCTTTCACTACCGTCTTTTCTTTCTTTTTATGGTCGCAAAAGTGAATGCCTGTTTTTTTGTACATAAGCGCTCAAATGTACTCTATTTGAAAGTGAGATGTTCCTACTTATGCATCTGCAACTACAGTATCTACAAGTTGATACTTGGTCCAGTGCATTGATGGTCAATGTGACCCAGTCAATTTACATTATTTCGGGCCACTCTGGATTGGTGTGCTTACAAATCAAACCTCAGCGCTTCCGGAAAACCGGGCATTCACTTTCGCGACCGTAAAAAGAAAGAAAAGACGGTAGTGAAAGGACATTTTAATCTAGGCATGAAAGATTATCTATCTCTAGTGTGAAAGATTATCTATATCGAGCGACAAAGGTTATTTATGGCCAAAGCAAATATATACTATTATCAAAGGCAAAAGGAATCCTTTTTTGGTCAAAATTAACTGACAAATATCAGTTGGGATATTCATAGCTTTACGGACAAATAATGGGTAATATTTCGAATCAATAAACAGCTTTTTTTACGAAAAATTTCCCCCCTTTTTTCACGGGTGGGAAATTTTGCTGCGCCCTCAGTGACACCTTTTTTGCCTATATGTGGTCATCATGTAACAAATAGTTTTGTCAATTCATTTATTGTGACGCCCAGTGACTCAATCACGGGTCTTGTGACAAAGATCAACGTACCTGCTCTATTCTCCTCTTGGCCATGCTTGAAGGAATCCCGAAAATGACTTGCGCGCGGCGCGCGCCCAAAAACATGATCGATTATCAACACATGCTATCATTTGATCTCGAAGCCGAGTGAATGCCACGGATGTGCAGTGGCCCACAATCGCATGTGTACACCAACTTTTGATCAGTTTGCCTCCTTCTCAAGAAACAACTTTTTCAGCCTTCCAGCCTCACGCGAATTTATGGATTATCAATTATTTTTCATTCAGCAGTCTTAATGCTAAAATGCAGATATTGGAACTTCATGTACATGAGCATCATGACTGACTTTCTGTGGAGGGTTGAGGAGGGCATTATGCATCGTCGATGTTTTCATTCACCTGTCACCAAAATCTGTGTTCCCGCAATAGATATATGGCACCATCGTACCACTAGCAGCTTTCACAAAGATACTACCTATCCTCAATGGAAAATGATTCAATCCGAATCGCATACCATGGACGGGGAATTAGATCGTTGTGTGCTTCACCTACTTCACTTTACCTGAAGTCAGCAATCGCGTCCTGCAGTTATTGGGACAGAACGAACCACACAACTACTGCAAGTCAAGGAGAGCAGGAGTCTACATTTGCTCCGGCGCTGATTCAGCTAAGGATAGGGAAACCAGATCAGAGTGAATGAAGTTCGGGACCGTCTGATCCAGTGAAGTCGACGACTCGGAAGCAGCATGTGTGTGCTCATCTCTCTCCCCGTTCCCTGAATGCTAACCTTGAGCTTAATCGATGATCATTAGACTCATATTCTTTTCGCTACAAAAGCTCCTTTCGCACAACGCTGACATCCAAATGTGTCTCGCTTCTCCATTTACTGCTGGATCTTCTCCTCCTTCCAGGTCGGCTGATCATACTCGCCTCGGTTATATCTATGCCCGTCTCGCCTCGTCAGAGACCGTTTACCCAGATTCCCTGCCTCGTTGGAGGGGAAGTCTTGAGGTCATGACCATAGGATATTCATCCGTAATCGGAACGGGTCTTTCACGGAGAACGGATATGTATGATGGGGATTCCGATTCGAAGTCGAGTGGGACAAGTTGAAGACGATGGAAGCGATTTCTAGTGTGAGTTGACCTTTACATTTTACTACTGCTTTCGTGGCAGAATTTTAAACGAAAGCCTGGTTTTTCGTAGTGCTCATGTTCTTCAACTCTGGACAACGTGTAGTATTCAATCAGCGTGTACGATGCGCTCTTGGCTCGGAGGCACTTCCCTTTTTTTGTACTCTTCATCTATCTTTTATTTATAAGTCGTCAATCTCTCGCTTCTTATTCAGCTGAAGTCAAGCTCAAGTTTTTGTGCCACCTGTTAATCGAGAGACCTTCTGCCCAAAACGAGGGACTGGAAAGCGAAATGACACTTCGACAGGTGACTGTTTCTATATCACTCCTGACACGATTCATTATACATTCCAAAACACATTCGATGCAAGAATTTACAAAATGACATACGCAACGATGGGATGAAAGAGATGTTCAAAAAGGCAACAGAGGAATATAGGAAGGCTGGCAAGTTGAGCTACTCATAGACTACCGGGAATCCTACCAACATTACTGCCCACACTAGCAGCACCGACAGCAGCGGATACAGCGGCCCTAGCACTGCTACTTGCGACGGATCCAACACCACCTACAAATTGTCACCACTGATAGAGCCATCGACACTATCGACCGAGTCACCACTATCAGTGAGTCCTAGAATTCCTGTGGGTAGAATCCCTGTAGGAAGGATTCCCGTAGGCAAAATTCCTGTGGGTAGAATCCCTGTGGGTAGAATCCCTGTAGGTAGAATCCCTGTAGGAAGGATTCCCGTGGGCAAAATTCCTGTAGGCAGAATTCCTGTAGGCAGAATTCCTGTCGGTAGAATTCCTGTGGGTAGAATTCCTGTAGGAATGATTCCTGTGGGTATAATCCCTTCGGGATCGTTTCCGATCTAAAAAAAAGGGAAATAAGTAATCCATATCATGAAGACATCGAAAACATTTCCAAGTGGCTCACCAGAGGGGCAGCATTGGCAGAGAGAGCCAAAACGACGGAAAGCTTAACAATCGCAGTCAAAAAGTACATGTTTATTGCGGGGAGCGATTGAGGGAGGCTGAAGTCGAAGTCAACAAAGTCGCTCGCTGAAGGCTGCTAGGAGTGTCTGAAGACAATGATTTTACTCTTGCAGAGGGGGGCTTTATATATGCCCTCAGAGCTGAAGGCACGGGGTTTTGACAGTACATCGGTGTGATCCATAGAGCCAGAAATAGTGGATGAAGTGCAAAGTTCAAGCAGTTTGTTTGGCGGAAAACGGCCTTTACCGTGTGGCGCAGGCGAGCTTGGGTATATTGAAGCATACTTTTTGGTCTTGGGAAAAAGATGGGTGCTTTTCTGGGTATCCTTCATGCTTTCTATGCTTCCAAATGACGAGTTGCGTCAAAACTGAGTACCTCGAGTGCGCGGCAAGGGCTGACCTTCTGTCAGGCACTAAGTATGACAGCATTCCGTCCATCTGTGTAGCTGGAGCGGTGCCACCTTCGTTCTGTTTCCCGAAAGAAATGACCAGGAAGACCTGAAGTGAAGAGAGCCAGGTATTACACCTGTATGTGTTCATCTTAGAGGATCACCGAACAAATTTGGAAAAAAGCAATAGTGCAAACCTATAGTCTAGGTCAGTAAACGTCAGCGAGCTACTTAATAATTCCGTAGATTCTAGCCTCTGAAAACATTCATATTCATAGTTCGATCACATTCCCGAGTCAATATATCTGTTTTCTTTTGGCTTGACAGCAAATAAAAGTTGGCTAAAGAAAGCTGTTGAGGAAGAGCACGACTTCAAGCCCTGTTCCATGACCTCGGTAGTTGTAAATACCCACTTCAGTGGCCAATACGTCAAAATTTCTCAAGACAATACCCCTCTCCCATTCTCCAGTCAATAGAGTTGATGAATCGAAACAATCATCGGAAGTACAGTCTCGGCAAACAACATTCAAGAAGAAAAACCCAAGCCATGAAAATTTGTGAGCAACATACCATTGGTTCGGCGGGATCAACCTCCGCAATGATAGTTCAGCAATCAGGGATTCGTGTGGAAAAAGCTGAATTGAGATGGAGGGCATTCGAACATGAAGATAAATACCAGACATGGATCATCTCATTCCATCTTTGATTGAACAATCGGCGGTGGTGGAGCGTCTTACTTCTGCATTTATCTTCGACAACCGCGGGACATCCCAAGAACAGTACAACCCAGTACAACCGCCACCGGGAGACAAAATTAACGTCAACGCACAGAAGCTTGTGTTGAAAGGCCTGAACAATGAACCGTCACAAATCCGAAGTAGCCCCTCCCTCTCGGCAGTTCCCATTTCAAATTTGGAATTGTAAAGCCTGAGTGAAAGTCCTCTCGATCTATAAGGATTTAGACGCACACGTTGGGGCAATCCCTCGTAGAAAAGCACCCACCAGCAGGAATTTTCGTCACATTGAATGAGTAAGCTTTCGTGCTACGTCACCTGAGAATCAGGGCTAGGTTGGGGGGCTGGCTCCGGTCGTCATTGCATTGAAGATACTAGCAGTGTAGTGCTCAATTATAGTTCCAGTTCTAAAGCTGGTCAGTACACGGGGTGGGCTTTACAAGCACTGGTCCTGATTCGGAGGTTAGCAGATATCTTTAGTCAGTGTGGAGATCGAACGTCACTGAAAAGCTGAACTCCTGAGTGGCGAAAATACGAATAAACTGAACGTCCAATCAACAAATGACACCTTTAAGAACACGACCGGGGGTAAAGTATGCGTGAAAGTTCAAAGCTCGATATGGGTTGTACACTGGTCCAAGAACGGTTCCGGTGCTGGCCCAACACCATGACCTATCGAGGAGTGAGAGAACGTTCACAAGTGATGAAACTTTCTCGCAGGAGATCCTCCCAAACCCAGGAAAGAATTTGTAGTGGCCTAGTAGTATATGAATCTACCCTGTAGATGGACAAAAATAGAAGGATGAGCTGTAAGCCTCAGCCTGTATCCCAAGGCATAGGAAGCCCCAGCGCCAATCGGTGAACAAACATCTTTAAATTTGCGAAAAGTGCAGTCATACACCGCAGCATTCTAGATTCAGTCAATAAGAGTAAGTATGCAACATACGACGAGTAGGAGGAGGAGGGCCACTCACAATATAAAATGTGAATCTGGCGGGCAATAGAATAAAAACGAAAAAAGAGGATCAAAGACGAAAGACATGATAAAGAATGTAAGGAGAGACAGAATATTCCTCATTACAGGTGCACACTGCATGGTCACCGGAGCAAATGGCATACGTAGGTACACAGTAACGCGGCAAATGGTAAGAAAGGAGGAATGACAACTTGATACAGACAATATCAACAAAGAAAAAGAAGATATTGTACTATGTAACCAAATCCAAATTCGAATAATCATGTATATGAACGAGTTACGGGCTACAGTAGTTCATAAAATATCATGAATGGTCGCACACATTACACATACACATACACAGAGGACAACGACGATGACGACAAGAGCAGGTTATAGGGACTAGAATAATGAATAAACTAGTGGCTATAGAATTGAAGAAATAACATAGAAACAAGAGGGGAGAGCAAAAAAATGGAAAATCAATGATAGCAAAACAAACCGGACACGTGTAATAAGATAGGGCAAGGGTTCATGGCCTACTGCTATGAACCCTCGAAAAGGGACCCATTCCGACGATATAAAATCCGACGCGACATGATCCCACACCGGAAGACGATACACACGAGGCAAGTGTGCTGGCGAGGATGGCTATCGATCACATCGTTCGATTAAGCCTCAGCCTCCTAAAAGAGAACATGAATGTTAAAAAACGAACGAGTAACAACAGATATTCGTACATCTGCCTCGTCCTCTGCTGCAGCTTCAGCGGCGGGGTCTTCCGCAATAGTTTCATCTACGCTGGTATTTACCGCAGCTGGGACAGTATTTTCGACCTAAAAATAGTCAGTCAGATATGCAAAACGAATATAGAATATAAAAACACGCGAAATCGGAAGAGGAAAGTGTAGTGGTGATTTGATGGAAGGGCAATATTACCTTGGAAGCAGGTTTTTTAGATCCTGCACGACTATTTGGCCTTGAAGGGGGCTTTACGGATGACTGAGCAAAAATCGTTATTGACGATAAACACATTAAATGGGCAAAATAGACTCACCTTCGAAGCTGGCTTTGCGGAGGCTCTTGATGAGGGCTTAGCCTTCGAAGACGGCTTGCTAGCAACTTTGGAAGGTGGTTTACTAGCAGCGGTCTTTGATACTGGCTTGGCCTTAGGGATCGGTTTTAACTCCACCGTGAGCTTAGCGTAGACAGTAGGTGAAGCAATATCTCACCTTCTTGGAAGCGGGAGCTTTTGCAGCACCATCTTCAGCATCAGTATCGTCGTCGGCCTTGCGCTTCTTTCCCCTCGCGGGGTTAGATTTCTTCTCCCCAGCGGCCTCTTTAGTTTCTTTGACCTTATCTGCCTTTTTTGCTCGGGGCTTGGCCGGAACCTTCTTCGCCACGGTGGGCTCAGGCTTGGGAATCTCCTTGATTCTGCTCGACCGACGAGGAGCTGGAGTGTCAGCTAAATCGTCTATCGCAATCGTGGCTTTGCGAGGCATTTCGATGGGCAGTGGATCGCGATCTAAGCTGAATTTAATAGAGCTGAAAGGGGTAGATGAGGGAAAAGAAGAGAGCGCGTCGAACTTTGAGTAAACAATCCAAGTTTCAAACAGAGCCTATCCACGTGCCCTGTGCACGTGGCTTGCGTCACGCGAACAAGCGCTGTGGGCGCCTCGGCCCTCCTTTTACCAAACCACGGATACTGCCAAACATATCCGGCATATATCTCAAAAGATGGCGGGACGACGCTGTGACGGATCACTCGCTATTACTCAGGTCTATTCGGTGTGACGATCCGGCCGATGGCGAGAAACTGGACGTGAGTGCAAAAGGTTCAATATATATACCCAGCACCTTTGCACTTCTTACGCCTAACCTATAAATTTCAGTCAAGAATTGAAGCCACCAGAGAAAAGAGTGAATTTCAGTGCGTAATTTCCTGACGTACAGTAGCTTATACTATCAAACATTTTTATTTGCTAAAACGACGTCAGCAGTGAACCATATCAGTCAGCTCTCTCACCGTCTTGAATCAACAGCGATGGAACCTCCAGCTATCCCTGTCGAAATCCTCAATGCTATTTTCGATTTTTTATCCGACAGTACTTCTGATTTGAAAACATGTTCGCTTGTGTCGCCTGCCTGGCATGCAGCTGCAGCTAAGATCCTGTTTTCCGAGCTTCACCTTCTATGCTCTCTCGGTGACCATCCGATTCCCCCTGCTCTTCCACAATCAAAGCGTCGGTTCGATCTGGCGTACGGTATCTTTCCAGTATATAGGAAGAAGTGGCTTATGGAGGATACGGACGCACATTGTATATGCAGTGATAATCAGGATCGCACCATTCAATCATTCTGTTCGAATGGAATATCGACCATGGTCAACATCACTAGCAATGTTGCTCGACTCAAGTTGATGTTTTGCAGAAGCGGCGACGGTCCCTTGGAACCAGTCAGCAATGGTCCTCATTCGTTGCAATTGTATCCCGACTCCACCATATCGACTCTGCTTCAACTTATCGACGAGCTTTCCTTCGTTCATCTCCGATTTCTCACCATCGATAGCGCACCTCAGGTACTGTACTTCATGATCTGCGAGCCTTTCAGCGGTGTTCTCTCCTCTGCTCCTTCGCTTGAAGAAATCAAATTTACGAGCTTTGAATCCATGCAGAACTCTGATATCAAACGATTACTCAATAAACACACCTTTTCTTGTACACGGTTCCCCCGTCTTCGCCGCATCGTCTTTCAAGGACTATTTGGAACCAATACATCGGGTCCGTACGGGCCAAGGATGAGCTGTGCCCTAGAGCTTACGCGCACAGATTCGACTACTCTACATAACGCAAGTGCATCCTCCGTCTCTGTGGGAGTGTCGTACTCCTCCTACCAGGATTCTCTTACCGAGCCTGATGGATTCTCGAGGTTTGAGATTCCGGGCTGGTGCTGCTTCAGTGGACTTTGCAAGAATCTGCCGGAGTCCAAGTCGCTCGTTGATGTTATGAGCATAGGCTCGGGCTTCAAAGACTGGTCGCTTCCTACCATAGGTATTGTTCTAGGGGCATTCCAATCCGATACTCTTGGTCCCTTTGCGCGAACACTGGATGTCAAGGTCTCGTCCGATGTCAACGATCGTAAGTTCAGTTTACTTACATTTCCTGGCTCCGTCTCATAACTACGGTTCATTGTTCTCTTCTTTTGCAGCTTCCGGAACCAAGCTATTTGCGTACATCACACAGACTTATTCTCGGATCTCTTCCTTGAATCTGTTCTTCAGTTCAATTGTGGAAATGAGACTGGCTCTTCTCCATAATACTGAGCAAGGATCAGATCATCCCATCCCCGGGCGTATCACAATCATACAGCAGTTGCTTCTACTATCTGAATTATCTTCCTTGAAACTGACCCTTTACGACAATGCCGCGTTCATGACAGTCCTTGCCTTCCATATCGTCCACAGTCAGAATCAGAGCCTCTCCGTGATGTCAGACCTGCGTGCCGATACACGTATTATCCAGCATCAACTCGAAATCATATCCGCAATGGATTCATGGTTCTTGGACCTTGCTCTCCTATCGATCAGTCGAAGTAGATCACTATATGGTCCTCTTTCTTCCAGTTTGCAAGAGGTGGTGTTAGTAATCGATATGCACGATACGAACAGTGTCTGGGACCTGTACCATCGTACTCATAGCTCGGATTTCGATTTCCAAGCTGCGTCGACGTTGGATCCTCGGTTCATTGAACGGGAACTTGAAATAATGTTCCCAAGGGTCAGAGCCGCCAGTCCCAATTTCCTAACCGTTCAAATTCTGTGACTTCATTCATGATACTTCTTCAAAATGTTACACAGTATCCGCGGACGTCTCCTTCCACTCTTTCTTTCGTAATCTGTCGTCGCCGCCTTCAATTGTCAAATAACAGACCCCACTACTTAGTTCTTCCCATCAACGATTCCCTGCCTGGAAGCTGTCACTTGTGCTTGTTATCGCAGTTGAGGATTTCAAAGGGGTTTTGCCGGCCAGGGGACAGTTGGAAGAACATCATTTACATCAGACTTTCGCGAAACAAAGTGGTCACTCTGCTTCGTTTGCACCCCGACTGGAGCCAACCTCTGTCTATTCTATCGCGCCCCTGTTTGTTCTAGGTGTTGCGATAGCGATGCGGATGACCGGCGTTGCCAGTGTTCACACTTCTTAGTACTGAGGCTCTTGCCGTCTTGCCCTAAGGTCAGCCTTATTTTTGGAGGAAGGAACTCGTGTTATGACATTCCGTCTTTTCCATATCTTCCTCGTATGCGGCCTTGCGGGGACGACCGTCTGACTTCTAGTTGAAAAAACTATCTACATTCTACTGTGCTTCGTGCCGGACTTTCTTTATTGCAGACGTAACTCCACTCCGCTTCCACACAAAGAAATACATACGGACGGACCCCCTAAGGTTTCCCGCCCTCAACTGAACGTCCTTTCACATCTTCATGTGCGCGTCAGGCTATGTATGCAGATGAAAGACATAGAACTCGGTCTCAAGAATCTTTTCCGAGCATTCTGTCCTTCGAGATCTGCTAAGAAGCATCGGAGGACTATCACGATGTTCAACTCTGTTCCGAAGCTCCATTTCTGGGCTCCACATACATACACGCCCAAACTATGTTCAGTCTGTTGAACGAATTTTCGCCTTGACTACTGGCTTGGAAACGCGTTAAATTTTTACAGAATCGCTTACTCTCAGCTCCAGCAAGCTCCAATCCGCTCCATGATCTATAACAAAGATCATTCCGCAACAACTCGTGATAGCTCGAGTTGGGCATATAAAGTGCCGTGCTCTGAGAGGTTCAAATCATTATACCTGTCTTTCGACTTTTGAACCTCACTAGGTCACCACATTCGTTTTTTACTCTCCGACCCTCATACTTCGGTCGAGAAATTCTCCTGTCTTTATCCCCCCAGCTACCTGAATCTTCATCCGCACCTTATCCAAGCATGTACCCTTCAAGTACTATCATCAACCTTTTTTCAATTGCGCTGGCGCTCTCTTCTGCGGACGCTGCACCTCTTGTAAGCTATTTCAACGAGATAATTCATGAAAGTCGTCTGATTGTGTCCTATATTTCAAAGGGTCAACGCGACGCCTCAGCCAGTGTTTCTGCAATCTCCAATACCACCGCTAGCGTTTCTGTCGCCTCCAGTGCCGCCACCGCGTCTGCGACAGTTGGACTAGTAGGCGGTTTAACCAATACTGCCACCGGGATTCTGGATGGTGCTGTGACAACCACTGGAAATGTCGTGAACAGCGTCGGATCGACTGTAGATGGCCTTATAGGCCTGAAGCGTGACGGCCTCGTCGGTGGGGTCACGACTACTGCGACCAATGTGGTCGATGGTGTAGTCGACACCGTTGGCAACGTTGTAAACGGTGTCGGTTCGACTGTAGATGGTCTTACTGGCCTCAAGCGAGATGGTCTCGTTAATGGAGTTACTTCTACTGCCACCGGAGTTGTTGACGGAGCTGTTGACACTGTTGGGAACGTTGTGGACGATGTCGGCAGCACAGTCGATGGCCTAACTGGTCTCAAAGTTCGCGATGCCACTAACGTCACTGCCACTTCCGCCTCTTCTGTGCCTTCTACTCCTTCAACCGGTCCTGTTGGAGGCCTTACATCAACCGCCACTGGAATTGTACACGGCGTTGTCAATACTGTTGGCGACGTTGTGAATGGCGCCGGCTCGACTGTAGACGGCCTTACCGGACTCAAACGTGACGGCCTTGTTACTGGTGTAACATCAACTGCCACTGGAATTGTTGATGGAACAGTTGACACGGTTGGCAACGTTGTCAATGGCGTTGGGTCGACCGTAGATGGTCTCACTGGCCTTAAACGTGACGGTCTCGGTGGTGGCGTTACTTCCACTGCTACTGGCATTGTTGATGGCACTGTTAACACTGCTGGAAATGTTGTAAATGGTGTTGGTAACACTGTTGATAACCTCACCGGCCTATAAGATCTCTTTTCTCGTCTTGTGAATATGCGCTTCTGCATGTCGATTTCGATTTCAATCCTCATTGCTTTTCCACCTTCGTCGCATCCGTTTACCCTTGCCAAGCTTGCCCTTTCTTTCCACAACTCCATTTCTTGTAATTTGTACTGTTCGCATCTACTACGCTGAGTCTGGTGAATTTAGGGTAGTGTAAAAGTAATCATGTATATACCCTATTAAAATTTTCTTTACATTGATACCTGCTCAAGGCGTCTGTACTGCTCAAGCCCTTTCCTCCATGCACTCGTGGTAAATTGCTTATCTTGTATTTTACCTCGGCTGAAGTCCGTCAAAGGTTGCGCACAGGGTTAGTGCCCGTCTCGGTTTATCCAGATGTAGTCGAGAATATCTTACGATCCGCTCATGCCATGTTGAAGGTTATGAAGCGGTGATATTGCCAAGAATCTTGTGGACAAGCAGTGGACAGGCCCGGACGATCCTAGCAAGAACATTACGAGAGTATACGGCACACCTTCAGTCTCTACTTTCCCCCTTGAGAAAGCTATGTACCTGACGAGATCCTGCGGTGCATCTACGACGAATACTGCGACATCAATTACTTTAACATGGTCGGTCCCGAACCTAAATAGCTTGTGCATTATCCAGAAACGTTTCAAAATAAGCCTGAATATCTGCGGGGCCTGGTGGGGGAGAAATGTGCTGTCTATGCCCAGTCTTTTTGGTCTAGGATTTCTATATGGAATGGGGTTCCACCTAATTGGTATTTGGGAATTCATGAAAAGTTAATCACGCAATTACGCCTATGGATAGTAACGGGAATCATTACATTTCTGTCATGCTGCACTACTTTGATAATCCACAAGCAGATGGGGTTTGGTATTTGGGGAAGAAGGTTGTAGGTGGGGTCGATGGGGAGCGAGGCTTGACTGCGGATGAGTGGGTTAAACTTGGTATTGGCGTGTCATTTGCAGATGTCGAGGCACGGGGTAGAATGAGGGGGTGACTTCTAGTTCGGAGAATAATTACAAGTAACGTTACGCGTATGGGAATACCAAAACTTTGAAACTTTGAAACCGATGGAGGGTCAAATGTAGACCTGGGAGATGCATGTTCCTTTATTTCCTCTAGCTCCTGTAGCAGTCGCCCATTTCCACCTAGCAGAGGCGGTCCGCTTAGACCTCTTAGATGGCCCAGGTTGTGAAGTCAGAGGGAAAAGGAGAAACTCGTGTGTAGGGCAGTTGGAAGGAAGGGAAATCAAGTGAAGCGAGACGGCGGATATGGAAAGGAGCAGAGGGGGGGGGGGGGGATTGTTCTCCCTGGAAGATTCTTCCGCCTTGTACTCGATTTCCTCGTCCTCTAAAAGATATCCCATATCCTCCACCTGAATCGCACCGTTGTTGGCCTCCTCCAGCGCGTAATCAAGTACTGCGTCTTTGAAGGCAGAGAAGCTAGGTGAGTAAGATAAGCGCCCAAGCGTATTCAATCAACAGTAAGGGACGTATTGGTCGGTTTGCGCATCTGGCCTGTGGAGGGGCTTGACAACGCGAGCGTTCCCTTCAAGAACGGATGCGTCGCGAGGAAATAAAGAACATCAGTTCAAAGTAAAACGAACGTGAAGGAAAATCCAATCCTCGGGCAATACCTGAGAGAACATAACAGACAAACCTGAATAATCTAATCCCTTTCATTCATCTAAGTTGAAGAGAACTAAGATAGAAGAGGGAGAATGAGGAGAGTTAACGCCTGTTGGTGTAGACGACTCGGGCGCTTGTTGGATTCTTTTCCAGCCGCCGGACTCCTCTCTGGACCCACAGCAGCTCTTTCATGCACGAGGGACATACGCCCCCCCACCAGTCACCAGGCCGATCTCAAAACGGTAATGCGTGCAGAGCTCGGAGACCAGACATGGCATTTCCCTTTGGATCGTGTTGCGAGGATGTTATCTCTTAAAAAATGCAATGCTCCCCTGGATGACAAAGTTGTCTGGGCTTCCTTCTTCTGATCAATCTTCCATGGCCACATCTCGGGAAACTGAGATATTTCAAGGGCAGGCAAAAGACTTGGATTGGAATGGATTACACGGAAATCGAACGGGGAGAAAAGGATACATACGTCGCTACTGTAGATTTTGTCTGTCTCCGCTAAAAGTGTGCAACGAACTCATCGAGAAATCTTTTATATTAAATGACCCTGGATCCCGGACTCTCTTCACTTATTGAATGAACTTGTCTCCGCATGTACAGTGCTTTGCGAAAAGGTTTGCTTGAATGGATTTTTTACCAAGTGTTTATTACTCTTTATTTGTCCAATACATTTTTGGGCCGAGGCTCGAGAGAGCTCTCTTCGAGGAGGGGCCGTCGGGCTTCGAAAAGCTATTGCTGAAATCCTTTTTGGGGAAAACCATATTGAAGCCCGACAGCCCAGGACGGCCCCTCCTTGAAGAGAGCTCTCTCAAGCCTCGGCCCAAAAATGTATTGGACAAATAAAAGCAATCTTGGTAAAAAATCCGTAACCTTTTCGCAAAGCACAATAAGTAATAAGCTACCTCAGGGTGTGAAACCGATGTTTTCCAATAGGCGAGGTGCAGTTTAATTTACAATCTTATAGGATGACACATGTTTACAAAGTAGATAGGTGGCTATACTGACAAGACCTCTTGCCAAAGGTCACTAGTACCCGTAAGCTCATTGAAGCCCAATACAGATGCAGGGAACTCGCTGATTCTGAGTCGTGTAGCCTAGTTTTTGACCGAAGAATCAAAAAATGTTGTTGTTTAAAACAAGATGCTTCTCACCCCAAACGGAATCAGCTTTATGTTCCTTTCCTCTCCAACACACTCTGGATACTCCGGAGGAGACGCCACAAACATGTCTCCCGCCAAAGGCCACTTGATTGGACACGCAGGCACGATGATGCTTACAGGCGGTTTTCCAGAGTCGAAAATCGGAGAAGGAAGTTTATATGATTCTGAGAATGTGGGGATGCTTCTTATTTCGACCTCTGTGTTTTCCGCATCGTTGTGGAACATCATTTTCGCAGAATCCGTATTGATAGCGTACTCCCAGTCTCCTACGGGGTCAATTTGTAAATCAATAGCGTGAGGTTCGTGAGGGTCCTGAGCGATGATTTTTTCAGAACGAGGAACTGAGTAAAAAGGTTCGGCAGTTCAGCGGTTTATTTGGAAAGTTTATGATGAGGCGACGTACTATCAAAAGCATAATTCAGTGGTCCTCGATGAACTGCGACTGATGAATGTAGGCGTTTCTCTAGAGTCACAGAAAGAATTGGAAACGAGTTATGAGATATGCAAGACAATCGAATTACTCACCAATTGTGATCTCAGCTGGATAATACAACACAATGTTTGTTATGCCCCCACCAACAACTCTCTGCATAAGCCCCGTCCCGCTATCAGGAGCAAGCTCCATTTGCTGTCCATCATCCAACAACATAGAACCACCAACGACCCAGCTAGGTACACGGATATAGTACGTGAATGGTTTTACAGCGAGAATTGTGATGTTTAACATGTCGCCGAATGGGTAGAGAGTGTCGACATTGACTGTGACTTGATTATCTGTAATCCGTTACAAATCATTGAGTACAATGATTCAGTTGAAAGCAAAAGAGCCTCACCTCCAAACAGAGTGGTTTGCACTTCAAAAGGTCCCAGATACAGCTGAATCAACCCGTTCCGATCAGGTGTAGTGAGGAAAGCGTTTGTGATAAATTTTGGCCATCCTTGAGGAAAGTTGACTGTGCAACATCTGTGATTTGTCGGTTACATTGAGCGCGATGCGCTCATTAGTCTTTGAGCTAAGCATAAGTATGGCTCACGGATAGTTGGGCTCTAAACCAAAGACGTTCGAGTAAGGGCTACGAGAAGCGTTACATCGGTCACTAACTACATAACATCTGGACGGGGCGTGACGTACCCATCTTCTGGGAATGGATTCCTGGTCAACCAGCAACGAAAAAAGAAGTCGGCAAGCTATCCAGTCGTAAGAAAACAAGGGCGACCCACGGGCTCATGTTCTTTGCCGCGACTTGGTTCTGTTGCTGCAGGTACTGACGGCCCCACATATCAGCAGTTATAGTGGCAGGTAGAGCATTATATGCCATCCGTTCAACCTGGAGTGATATTGAGAACGGCACGAACGGCGACAAGGCATGAACTCACCCTATCAGCATACTTTATATCTCCGATAACCTGATAGAGATACGAGCCACTACGAGACGAATATTTTAAGATACCGCAAAGGAGCAAGAACGATCTGGAATTTACGAGAACATTGCTTCCTATCACAAGTGTCAGTATTCTGAGCTCTTGCAGGCGAAAAATAGCGTACCACCACTAAACATAACTCCGTGCTGAAATTCAAAAGCCAAGAAACGAATTCAGCAACGGCCATTCCATTGACAAGAGTCACAAGCCCACCCTCTTACAGCCTCTAATCCAGCCAACATCTCGTCTGCTGCATACGCCCCGGACGGACGTCCATGATATTTGAACATAAGATCCCAACTGAGATTTGCCGCGTCGATATCTGTATTCACTAGAAGAGTCAGCGAATCAGGTAGAAAAAGGGGACCATTTACGCGCCAGATTGATTATGAGTAAATCGGTAGGTAGCAGGTAGTGCTTTGAGTCCTTCCGCCATGTTGACGCCGTGCCACTATAGGTATCGAGTCGGTATACATATAGGTTGTATGTTGACTACGAAGATATACTGACTGAGAGCTCAATCCCGAACGGATTTGTGAGGTTTTCGACTGGTCCAGTAGGGAAATACTAGGACAGGCGTGACTAATAGGCAGAAAATTCCGGAGCGAAACGTACCTCTCTAGAAAAGACTTTTTCCCAAGGTACCCCACTCCATTTGAGCCGCTTCATCGTATCCAGAAGTATTTCTTCTTCGCCTCTGGGATGCGAATCATACAACCTTGAATTGGGTTCGAGAGATTTACTTACGAAAGGGTATAAGATGAGCACCCACCACTGCAAAACCATTACAAAGTCTTCCCATCGCGTAGCAGCCCAGTTCTCTACTCCTTCTCCGTCGCGTAACATCTTGTTTGCGAGTTTCAAGAATCTATGTAACGCCGTGACAACTTTATCTGTGAGTTCGGGCTTGTATTCAACCATCTGGATAGCCCCGAAGAAGAATGGGTACCTAGAGCAAGCCATTAGTAAGCATTTCGTCCAAGATCCATGCATGAATCCAGTAGGCATACCTTCCCCAAAGATATCGCGGCTTATCAGTGCCTACTTCCGGACCCAACCATCCCGTAGAATCTTGATGATCCAGGACGTAATCCAGAAATTCTTGAGTCTTCTCATTAATGATGGAGTTGTTCATGAGAATGCCATTTGGAACCATGGCATTGAACCAGTAGCTGCCAGCTATTCAAGATTCAAAGTAAACTGGTTGGTTGATCAGACTAGGTAGAGTTCATCATGGTACAAGCCTTCTTCGAGGTAGGAATAGTAAGAATGGCCACCGGTCCAATCCGAGTTGGATACACTGGGAAGCAAGTGAGAGAAGGTTGGACCAGGAGATACTCAGAAGCATACAGCTCATAAAATTCGTGCATATGTCCTGCAACGCCATCGGTTTGAATTTGTAGCTGGTATGCAAGCAGTTACAAACCTTGAACTTTTTACAAGAGAGCTTTCAAAGACGTACCTGATCCCAAAGCCATCCAGCAGGTCTCACTTCTCCCAAAGGCAAAGTCAAAAACTTTTTCGGCGCGACTTCAACGAGTCATCAGAATCATACAACTTTACTTGTACATATGAAATTCGTACGTTCATATTTGCCTATAACGCTTGTGAGCGCGAAGCAAGCCACCAGAAAGACATATCTTGCAATGATCATTGGAGCTGGTCAAGCTCAGAGATTGAGCGAAGATGATAAGAAGACGGCCTGGGACTTTCCATTGACATGTGGTGAATGCTGCAACAAAGGTTTCTCAGTCCGCGGACCGGTTCAAGTTTGCGGGTAGAATTGTCGAGCGCTTAATTCCTGTGCGTATCACAGTGTCCTTACCCCAAAACCACCATGGCTCGAATTCCACTCGCTTCCCGTCCTCTGGACTTTGTGTATCTCTGCTTCTTTCTTGTTCGCTCGCCGTCCTCACTTTCCTCGAAACGTGTTCGATTATCCTTTCTCTGCAGAATCATATCCCCGCTTCAATCCTACCGACTTTCAAAAATTCTATCCTAAAGCCTATGTACTCACCTCGATACTGCGGATGCGCCAATGGTGGATTGCTATCTCAGCAGACCCACTATTTGCGGCTGCTGCTCGAGGAGATGACCTCCTACATGGAGAACTTGTTTGGTTTGGATGCTTTGCATGGCTTGAGCTGTAGGAATTCATCTCAATGTATCGTGCTCACCGATTCGATCTCACTGCATCAGATCATTCCAACTCCCAGTCTTCATACTTGGAGTGAGAGAGGTTTATGGAATATTGCGTCCTCGCTTGTCAACTTATATGCAAACTCTTGTAATTCAAGTGCAATCTTTTCGTCGCTCAGGATCACGTTCAATATACGTATTGATGTTGGCATACGGCGCGTCAACGGCTACGACTGTCCTTCCATGTATAGTCCATTTCCTACAAGAGCACCTCAACATGACTTCATCACAACGACTGATGCTGCTCTCAAGTTATGTCCCGTTCTTTTTGGTCCCCTTGTTGATGGCTGCCGACACGGGCTTCAGGGTGTATAATATTGTCGCGTATATTGAAGGGAAGGGAAAGACAGAGTAAAAGGGATCGTGACAGATGGGACTCGGGAGTTGGGACATACAGGATCTTGCGTGAGTCTTTATTTAGCGTCTTGTTATATTGTTTTTCATCGGCTCCCCCGCTAAAATAAAACTAAAATTCATATAGGCCTGCGCGCTCTTGAGAAGTAACGTCAAGTAACATTGGAATAGGAAGGGAATTCTGGATTACAGAATTGAACTAATGATCATTGATCATGTAACCTTCACACCCATTCTCAAGCCGGCCTTGGGCCTCGGAATCAGAGACCCCTCGTTGCGTGCTGCTTTGTGTGGAACTGAGTGCTACATTCTTTCTCTCCATCCTCTGCATTATCTAGTGTAATCTATCTATCTATCTGCCTTCGTGAGATTTCCCCTTGATGTCTAGAGGATTCGGAAGCTCAGATATATAACCATGCTGCTACCTTTTACGCTCCTTGTAGCGGGTCGCAACAAATCGTAACCTAAGGATCACACGCACAATGGAAACCTGCAAGGCAAAGAGCGCGGGCTGTGCCATCAGATTACAAAAGGGTTTTATTAAAAATGAGTTGCATTCAATGCCTTGAATCTTCCCCGCCCACTTCTCAAGCTGGTCTTGAAAGGCCTTCAATCGTTTTGAGCCCGTCCTAGAAAGAACGTCGTAAATTCCCCGCCCACAACTACAAAATGAAGTTAACTACATCCTCCATCATTTCATTCATTGCTCTCGCTACGTTGTTCATTCAAGTTTATGGAGCCGCTATAGCTCATGCTTGGCCGAACAATCCAGATGCTCGACATTGAGTATGCTCACGATTATAATGAGTATTTGACTCATTTCAACAACAGATTGGATCCACCTGATTTTCGCCCAACTGTGACTAGACGGGGTGCGAGTGACTTTCTTAGAGGACAGTTGAGAAACGCTTTCAGCCTGAGTCCTACGTCCCAGCTTGGAGCCCCCCAGAAATCGGATCTTCGGGAACAATTCCAAGAGGCAGTGACCGGCAGCGAACAACGAACTTCTGTCTTCAGGAAAAAGCCTTTCCTTTACCCATCACAAACATTTGCTGGCGTCGGCATTGGCGAAGGAAAAAAAGACGACATCATCCATGAGGCTGCCGGAACAGCTCATGACAATGTCGGAGGAGCCTCGTGAACGAAAAGTCATAAGGGCATAGAGCCCAAGGACTCGGAAGACAAGGGAAAAGAACGGGAATGGTGACAGGCAGCGTCTGCGACTTGGAAATTTTCAGATTCTTTCTAGTGTTTAATATGAAATCAGTTTTTGTGCAATATTGTGTGTCTCGGACCTTTTCTCGGCTCCACGTCTTGATTTCCATCAAATGTCTCTGTCTCTGCGTTTTGTCTGCATGAATCATAACAGTCTCTGTTATTGATCTGCTGAACCAAGCATATCGATATCGTTAACCCACTAATACATCTCAGAGTAGAGCATCCAGTTATTGTATGGCCTTTTTTGAATGCTTCAATTGTACAGTAATTCCAGCTCTGCGCCCAAATAGCTTGGCTCTGGCTTTGCGTTGCCACATCTTGGCTCTAAAGAGCCAGCACCCCGTTTCTATAAGGCCGTATAAGGCTTTCACTCACCGACCACCTGCTTCCCAACTAGTGACCAGTATCTTATCACTTACTTATCATGTATATACTTGGACCGACCAATGGTCTCTAAGCAACTTACAATTGAGCAGCCAATATCTTCTCAGTTACTTATCAAGTATGTACCGTGATTGACCAATGGTTTCCAAGAAACTTGCGTCTGAGCAATGAATATGAATGACAGCTATTTACTTCAAACCCTGAGGAAATTGAAATTCATCAGTTATTCATCCGTATTAAGGCATATCTAATTTTCAATAATTACATTTGGCGCTAAAACTCATTGGGATACATAGTTGCTGCAATAGCTAAGGCATCAATCCAAAGTTTGACTACTTCCTGCTCGCGGGGCAGGCGAATATAATGTTGAAGCTGCTGATCAAGGAAAGTAACCTGTTCAGGCGTAAGAAGGGCTGATGGTGGGTCCACTGCTACTTCATTGAGATTTGGTGGGGGGCCTCTGCGGCCAAGCCAAGAGCCTGATCCTTCATCTGCATAGTGCGACCGAAGTGTTCGCAACAGTGTCTCGTCCTGTAGTCCCTCCCAATCCACCCCAAACACCTCTAGCTCTTCATCAGTCATAGCGAATTGGCCAAGATCCTCACCTCGGATGCCATTGACAAGCGAATCAAATACAAACATATCTTCTGGACTACGGGCTGGACCAGTACGCTGTGACACTCGATGACGGTTCCAAGACTCTGCCCAAAAGGTAAGCTGTTCATTGATTATGGGTAGGAAAAGATGCTGAAGCAGCCATATATGGTTGGGGTTTGAGACTTGGAGACCATGATTTATTTCAAGGAGCGTGAGCATATCATGCCATGTTTGACTGCAGTAATGGCTGATATCAACCCATAAACGTTCAATACGGACATTGTGAATAGACCTTAGGGAACATGATATCAATATACTGGATATAAGATTGAATTTTAACGAAATACCTTCCCCAAATATATGAGCCACGACCTTCCCCACGAGCATGCTCCATGAACGCTGCTACCCAGATATTTTCAATGCCATGGTCTCCACGAACGCGTGATGGGAGCTGGTATTTCTCAGCTGCAGATAGGAAGAGTGAGAGAACAGTCTGTCCGCGGTTATTATTACTAGCCCGCAGTCCTGTTATCAGCCGTGAATATCCATCTATAAAACCATGGATAACAATCCCCCAGCGAATAAGTCCTGTATCACAATGGGTACTTGTTATTGGCAGCTTATGAAGGACAAGGGAAATGCTCACGGTGATGACCATCATGGTGCCATAGAGAATTCGGTCCTGGGACAGAATAACCTCGACGGCGGATACGAATGCGGTCAAAGACCCGGTGAATAGGATCAATTCGGACAAGGGATTGACGAATGCGTTCAAAAGGAACCATAATATTCAAGCGGCGAAGCATTCCATCAAGCATTCTAATGCCTGCTCGGTGAAAATGAATGCGCAACCGTCCTAGTAGAGAGTCCAGCTGCTCATTTGAAATATGTGTTATGTAACCAGAGGAAGACGAAGATGGGATTGCTGCAGCCTCTGCTTGAACATCGTCTGGTAATTGGGAGGGTGGTAGAGTATCAACATCAAGTACATTGTCGGATTCACTTGATTGGAGTTCATGAATGCCTCTTGGGGGGAAATTGAATGGACCAATCCCCGGAGTAGCAATACCACACTCCAAAAGACGACGTCGAACAGTTGGTCGGGGAACATCAAGAAAGTGGCTCAGCCCTGTTATGGTACGGTGGTTGTGAGCAAAACGAAGGAAGTCTGGATTGATTACAGTGCGAGGGCGCCCAGGTCGTCCAGTATATTCAGTAAATACGACTTCTGGTCTTCCATTGTGTGACAATTCTATGCACTGTTCATATAATGCTCGGATATCCAAAATCATAACCTGAAGGCTACTTTGTAGAATTTGCGCTTCTTCGGGTTCAAATATAGCGGCATGCTGGAGTTACGTTATATTGGACATAGAACAAGAGGGAAACTGAACAGTTACCTCTTGCGCAAGTTGAGAAAATTGATTGAGGTCCTCTCCCAGGAGCTGCAACAGGAAAGGATCTGTTGGCTCAGCATGAACTTGACCCACAACGGCTTCAAATTGTGCATAGTGAGCTCGGAATGCTTCCAGAAGGCTTAAAGATGGAGCACTGCTGGTTGTTGTGACATCTGGAGCGACCACCAATGATATCAAAGACAGGATTACCCAAATCCAAACCTGCAGAAGAACGTAAATCCGCATAGTTTCAAACAAAAAGTTCTGACGGTAAATTGCCGCTCGTGCTAGGCACATTCTGCTAAAAAAGTAAATAATCAATAATAGCCATTTATAGTCATCATGCTTTTCCGATCGATGTAAAGTCATAAGTGAATGTGTATTTGTTTGGATTGGTGGGCCCTCTCTGTTTTAGTAGGCAATTTTGCTTCTATTCGTTCTCTTTCACTTTCCATTCTTTTTCCTTTCTTGATTTCAAGCTGCAGCAACCACCGATGGACTTTACTGGTCCGTCAAATGAGGATAATCCTTACGGCTCCATAATGCAAATGCTCCGGCCTCCCGACTATGGCCCATCAATGACTACTCCCATTAATTTTGGTTGCAGTTATCCTATGGCTTTTCCCAATGCGCCCTGTCAACGTAACTAGACTGATCTCCCGCTTGCAATAATTTAGTATTAATACTGTTATTTGATTTAGGTGAGGGCGGATTTGTTTGGCAAGACCGGGGGAACGTCGAGCTTGGGCTTGGAAATAGCGGTGACGGTTTTGATGCAGTCCCAAACCTCACATCGTTGCAGATCAACCCTTCCTTGAGTGGTGAGTATCAATTCCAGATTGATTTAGGAGGACGCTAATGCATATATCCAATCAACATTTTAGCTAGTATTCCGGACGTCGTATTTCACCACGAGGATGCTCCATTCATCGCTCCAAGCAATGGCGCAGGTGCAGGCCCTAATGGTGAATATCCTAGCAATAGTAAGCGTTCACTGACTTCTGAACGTGTCAGTACTGAATCTTTGCGGCAAGACTTCTTGAATAATGAGACTAGCTTTCTTGGTGAGAACGGTATTGAATATGGTTGTAAATGTGCTCATAAAATTCTACTAGCTGCTGCCTCTGGAGCGCAACGTACCAGTCACCATATTGGTCGCTTCCACCCATACTTGAGCACCTCCTATCGATCAAACTATGGGACCATGCCCAGTACGTCGACCTTGTTTGACCGATGTGAAGTTTGACCAACCACCTTAAAGTCCCAATGCCAGCGGTTTCGATGCCCAGCATTCCTGCTTCAGGTACTCCTCCAACGGCAACTGCTTTGGTTGCTTCCGCTGCTCCTGCTGCAACTACTCCCAGCGGTTTCACGTCCACTATTCCAGTGCCGCCAAATCCTTCTCCGGAGTCGCTATACTTGTCTCTATCTGGTCAATACATCGTTCCGACCTCTTTTGGTAGCGACGATCCATTCTCTCAAGAAGTCCAAAGCAATTTACCAATTGTTAGACTGAAGAAAGGACCAGAGGTGACGACAAAGGCGCTGGACTTCAATCATTACTGCGAGACGAATGGCTATAATCGATCATCTGCTATGTATCATACTAAAGATCGTGGCCGTTCGCGAGCTGCTACTGCGCAGATGTACTTCCAGTGGGCTAACACACGCGACTTCTTGAAGCAGATTGTGGGTTATACGGCCGGTTTGAAACTGAATCTTTATGAGATCCGGTACAATGATGGAAATGGCCCTGTTGAGAATTTAACGTCCATCCTCCTCCATCGTCTCGGTTGGAATGTGGGCACATTTGAGGCGACGGCTCGCATCTTTGAGCAAGCTGAGCATTACGCTTTTAACTTTCAGTGGAATCCCGATAGTCCAGCTGTTAGCACAAATGGTAGAACGGCAACTGGTGAAGCTTTCCGTTAAGATCTTCATGCAGTTTGAGCTTACCGTTTACATTTAACAGGACTCGTTCGGTTCGACAAGCATAATCCTTATGAAGCCTGGAAGGGTATCCAGTATCTGTTCGTTGCCCCAGGCTACTTCACCAATGGGATAACTCCACTATACTGTATCCAAAACTCCGATGAAGAACAAATTGCTTCTAAAATTTCAGCAAAGGTCATAAAAACAAGCATGCCGCGGATTATACCCAATCTCATACCTCTTCCTAAGTAGTCATTTGCACACATCATTCTAACATTAGTCCAACTTGTCATTGCCAATCGTTTAGCTATTGCTTTTACCCTTCACTCCCTTGCAGCGTTCCCATAGATTTTGCTCCTTCAGGGCTCATTGTCTATCGGTTGACCACCATCTTTATGAACGTACTATATTCCTTTTAATTGCTACTAGTGCGCTTTGCTATCCATTAACCACCATCTATATAAGCATACCATATCCATTTCGCTACTTCAAAACCTTTGCAAGGGCCTTCCCTTTTCTCCGTCGTAAAAACGTACTGCCCATCGGATGGCAATTGCCGATTAAGTTTGCGATACAAAACCAACTTATACGGAAATTTCCGAACTCCAATCAAACCGTAACGTCGATTCCATATTTCTCGAGCAAGTTATTCATATATACAAACGTCTATAAGAATTGCACCTCAGGGAGAAACATCTACAAGTTAAGTGGCAACCAAGGCGGAGGAATCACCATAATCTCCTGGTCAGGACCTTCGCAAGGGTATTCCCAAGCAAGCAATCGGTGGCGTTCATTCTCAGGAGGCCTGATAAGATAGCGGTAACGAGGCCATGAAAATTCTTTGAGAAACGATGCTGGAAGATGGTTGTGAAGATCCCAGAACGTGACTGCTTCATTCAGTGACCGTTTCCAATCTGAAGCAGGCAGACCATATAATGAAATGTATGGACCAAAATCAACTACTGCTTGAGAGAGAAATTTACGGATAGACTGTTACCCATGATTAGTGGCATTGGATTATGGTACGATGTAAAATTTGACTTACCTTGAACATTTGATACCACATTTTGCCAGCTTCATCATTGGTGTACTCACGCAGGGTTTGCTGATAACTTTGAATATTATCCTGTAACAGATAAGTAAGCTCAAATATGAAGAAAGTAGTATATGGTAGACGTGCAGAAAAGAAAGTATATAGCGTTGCCTGGGCTATTCCGGTTTTCTTGATTGCTTGGGCCTCATATTCATCGATGCCAAGGTGCAGCTCCAAGTCTTCGATATCCAAATTACCACTGCTGAACTCTGGCGGATAGACTACCCGTTTCATAAGTGCAGTCCGTTGGAGCAGAGATTTCTCCCCATATGTAACATCTTCTGGCCAGTGTGAGGCCCATATGGCAGAAGCATAGATAAGAAATGCTTGTTCATATTGGGTCCCCTGGACCGTCAAGTAAGTTGGTACAAAATGCCAAAGAAACTTTGTCCTCAAGGTTTTGTGTATTTCGCGGGAGAACTAAAGTATTGACGGTTTAGCATAACCTTTGGCAGAAAATGATCCTTTACCTGAGGATCTTGGGCTTCTTCATCTATTCCATCATCTGTTTGAACCCATGATTCTTCATATAGCTGTTGAAAATATGTGAGTGGCATTGAGCGTTGTGGGTAAGATGATCCAAGTCACGGCACCATTTGTTTCCCTTTTATGTATATCCCGTAGAAATTTCTATACCGGGAAGGGCCAAAGCAACATATTTCAAAACCAAATGCCAGGCACATGCTCCGCGAGTGTCCTCTCTTTCCCTACCATGTTGGAGAGCAAATGAACAATGAGAATGAAGCTCTCAAAATAAGCTATAACCCGGTCACTTTTAATCTTTACATTCAAAACCTTTGGCTCTACTGGCATATGGCTTCTTGTATCCATTTTACTATCCCAAAACATCGTTAGGTTGTTACACATTATCATTTGGAATATCTTCCCATTTCTAGAACACTTATACGCCATATCATATATTTTCACTGACTGTACATATCCACTATGACTTCATTATTTTATTCATCTGCATTCATGGTACGAGCTGATGATCATATATCTATATAATTTAGGTATATATGTACCATCCTTGTTAGCAGGGTCTGCTATATCGTTTCATTTATTGCAGGCCATATTAATTGACTAGTACAGGACTTTACTCAATGTTTAGTCTGCATCGAGTAAGATGTCGCCCCGGAGTGGCTTTTTACCCCAAACTTCTGATGTTTTGGTTGTTTCAACAATGCCATATACTCTGTCTATTGAAGCATGGAGAAATAAACTGTGACAGTTCACTGCCCACACAGATTTATGTTAGTAAAGAGCTATATAGAGATTCAAACCTATCAACGAAGTCTATGCTGACGACAAAGGCCTGTGCCAAACTCTCCAGGGTCAAACTTTGATAACTAGAAGCTGGGCGTGTGCAAGGGTATGCATTTCACGCACGTGGGGGCCTGCGTGGGGAGACAGATGGGAAGGAAGGAGGATTTTTTGTTCTACATGAGCTGCAATGACAACATTTGTCCTTCGTATGCCTTTATAATCCTCCTTGATTGCCTTGAGAGCAGATTCACGAGCTTCATTGTGCAAGCAGCTCAATGAAAGATCCGAAAGGGAGAAGAGGTTCTGAGCAGCTGAAAGATTGGGCATTGGTATCATAAACTGAAAATCGGGTTTGCGACGCGATGCGATGGAGGTGAGGAAGCAATTCGTTCCCATCAAATCAAATCATAGGGGTCAAACAACTTTGCTCATTGGACACGTTTTGACTCTTGACGCTCATGAGCAACTACAGCAGCCTGCTGTATTTAGAAAGCTAACCAAGCATCTGCCTTATTTTCCTTGGTATACTGTAAGCCTTACCGGTCATTATTTACTTTGCTTACCTACCTTTCTTTAGAACTAACGTTGAATCGCGATTTCTGCCAGAGATGCGAAGAAAAGTTGTAACACATCCGTAATATGGCTCCAAGGCGTGAGACTTTGACTGCAAATATATTGAGCCCTCAGGATATTACTACGACCTCCAGCGGCCAACCTACAGCCCCGTTAGGTTTTCCTCATTCCACTTCACCTTCGAATTGATTCACGAACTTTCTCTCGAAACCGGCAAGATGGTTTGGCAGGAGTGCATCCAATCCAAAGATCAGCACCGTTGCTGCCGCTTCAGAACCCAGAACGAGCAGTTCTTTGGGAAGAAAACACAAGATATCATGTTCTACTGACCCTAGGCCGATTCTGGACTCACATAGTGCTGCTCTGGGGGCTAGGTGAGCTTTCACATCTCATTTTTGCTTCTTGTAGATACTGAATGGCCTTTAGATCCGTAATGGAACTGACCTCACGAAATCCGAATTCTCTAGACCTTTCATCCATCGGTTTCAATTCCAGTCAGCCCTCCAGTCCTTCCAGTCCACTTCGGTCAACATATGGACTCGGTGACCTCCGAGCAATCTCTCGACGAGCATGGTCGAAATCAGCAGATGATCTTAGCAAGCTTTCGGCGGATGTTTCTCCTGCTATGGAGGAAAAGATTGCCCAATATCGCAATCGGAGTAATAGCAATACTAGTCCATTATCTCCAGGCGGTCCTCCTTCGGCTCCGCCTTTCTTCGAACGCAGTTTAAGCCATGGTACTGGCGTACAGCCGTTTCCATCACTGCCGAGAATCAATACACCATCTTCAGCTACTCCAACAGTGTCCATCTCAATATCAGCACCTGTCATTGACGAAGCTGCACACAAGCCTGCTCCATCGCCCACCCACGTCCACACACGCTCATATTCATTTACGCCCAAGCTCGCGTCCAAGCTTTCCGCGCCTCGTTTCATGCCTCCCAGTCCCAAGCGGAAGGGTTCCGCAGGTTCAGAGATGGAAGGAACGTCAACACCACCTGTCCCTACACGGGGCGCTTTTCCTTTCAGCTCTAGTAGTCGAACTCTTCTTCCCGACTCATCTTCTTCCTCGAGCACTTCGCAGCCAGTTCATCGATCTACTACTCTTCTAGCTCCACCCAATATCGTTGAACCTTTCAACGAGTCCTCAGAGTCCAGCTCACCCAAACGGGCCTCCCAAATCGTATACCATAGCGGCTTCATCAACAAGTTTGCCGACGGTACCGCAAGTCCGCACCAACTTGGAACAGCGAAGGCGTGGAAGCCCTTCAAACTGGAGCTCAAGGGGTCCAAATTGTATTTCTATAAACCTCCGTCTGATAGGGCAGCAGCAATTAAAGAGCTATTTCCTACAGAGCTAGTACCTGTTAATCAGCAGGATGAGGACGAAATTGGTAACATTGGAGGAGTAGAGGGCGAGCTTGAAGATGATCCTTTTGCGTCTGCGACGGCCACGAATACCCGAATGGATATGCGGCCGACGAGACAGGAAAATTCCATTGCGCAGAGGAAAAAAAGAGCGTTCTGGGGTCGACGAACTCATCCCGATTTGTCAAAGGATGCCGAGGGGATAATTGAGAAGGGAACATTTGAGGCACTGACACATGAGGCCGTCTTTGGCACTACTTTCTTCGGACTAGTGGAAGGGGAGGTCACCGCCGCGGAAATTAGCAGTGGAATTGGGAAGGCTAAGATAGGATCGATGGAGCAATGGAAAGATTTCGCGGCTTCCATCCTTCTCTGCATGCCTCACTTGGTGGATCAGACGAAGTTCGAAACGGAGCTGATGAGGTGTTGCGAGTTTCTCGTCAGCGGCGCGGAAGAGGAGAAAAAATCGGCAGAGAAGCAAAGAGTGGTGTGGTTAGCAGCAGAGTATCTTCGATACCACGGGCGGCCACTAGAATTCCCTGATTGGCCAGAATGGAAAGCGGAAATTGCTCCTGAAGCTATCACCGTCCCACCCCCAGCCATGCCTCTACCAAGGTCGACGTCCACACAAGCCTTATACAACCCCACCCCCGTTGCGTCTCCGAATATAGGCATGTTCTCGCCGAGACCGGGAGAGAGCAGTAACATGTCATTAGTGAATGCCTTAATTGAGAACGGACGCGAAGCTACTGCCACGCCTCAGCCAGGATCCGGCAACTCTTACTTCGACCCGACCACGCCTGGGGCTCTTTCTCTTTCGACACCGTTTGGCACACCTTCAAGCCCCACTGTCAACAGGACTCCCTGGGCTTCCGCACTTGATCGTGAAGGCCTATCAAGAGATGTACTTCTCCTGATTGACCCCAACACCATAGCACGCAGTCTGACTGTCTTTCATCTCGCTGTTTTACAACAACTACCGGAAAATCTCACAGCTAACTTTGTACTTGGGCCGGAAGGATCGGAATCGCACCCGTGGTCGACGCAACAACCATTATCATCATTATCTGCCACTTCTTTATTCGGTTCAGACGACCATCCTCATTGGCTTACAAAACTGCTATTGGTGCAAATCCTTGGGGCAGATACTTCAACAGGTTACGCTACCCTACGGGGCGCTCAATTATCTTCACCGAGCCGAAGATCTGAAGACCGGGGACCTACGTCCCGTACGCATTCGCGTTCGGAAGTCATATCAGCCTGGATCAAGATTGGCGAGCTTTGTCGACTGAACGGGGATGAGTGCTCGTGGAGAGCTATCCTTCACGCAATATGTGCTGCTCCTGTCGCTCGACTGGAAAAGGCTTGGAAGCGTGTTAATCCAGTGGCAATAGCAACTGTGGAATCTTGGGTTCAACCTGTCAAGGATGGCGATCCCGTAAACGGAATTAGGGAACCTAGAATAACGCCTTGGGGAGGAAATATGAGGAGTATAATTAGGGAGCATTTGTCACAAGCTTCGGTACCGGGACCGACTGGTGACGTTCTGATGTTGGCGACGCTGGATAGGGTGCGCATGTTATTCGAGGGCTTTCGAACCTCAGTCTCTTTATGTCCAAGAAAGACAACAATTTTGGAGGAGGGAAGTAACGAAGAAGTCCAAAAGCTCGTTTCATATTGGAAGGACATTGTCGCTGACGGCGGGGCCTCTAGTGGCCTAGGAATAAAGTTTCACAGGTATGCAATAAGCACACACAGCACTTTAGATTGTGAATTGACTAGTCACTAAGGGTTGAGCAGTTCATCTCGTTATCGCTTGCAGCTGAACCTCGACGGAAAGGGCTATATGAACCTTTCTATTGGGCTAAGTCTAATGGTCAGCCTTTTTCAACTGCACCACTCCTTCCACTCCTTTTTCCAGAGCCTCTACCTACCATTACCTTACTTGACCGATCACAATTCTTTCGCGGGCGCGTGGATAGCGACTCTAACGACTTTCAGCATCTCCGCGCTGTTGACGGACATTTGCGACCTGAGGGCCGAACATCGGTACCTGCCAGTGACGGTGCTTTCGGTATTTTGAACCAAGGAGGAATGACAATTCCAGTCCATGATGGGGACCTTCTGTTGGTGGTACAAAACCCTATCACTGACTCTTCCTCTACGGGCTCTCGACCCTCATCTCTCGTGAGGTCTCGACCTCCAAGTTCTGACATCGACCCTTCGTCTTTACTAGATGGTAAATCTGATAAACCTATCGGTCGGACGCCCTCCATCCGAGTCAAGCCTGGGTCCTCCGCTAATCTAGAGAGAAAGAGTAGCGTCGCTCGTCGTAGCTCGCTCCCATCATTGTCGCAGCGTCAGCCTTTAACGCTGGCTGAAAATTCTTCGGAACCTCCCTTACGGGTTCTCGTTCAGGCGGGCACGTTGGATCGTCTTGTTGATGTTCTCGTTCATGGACTTCATAATGTTTCGGTATCTGTCGCGGATGACAATGGTGAAATGTCATTGCGGGTCGGAATGACACGAGAACTGTTGCTGGACCACAAAGAATTTACCAGAGTGTGGTGGAATGTTTTTCGTAGTTTTGTGACGCCACTTATATTTTTCGAGGTGTGTCCTTTGCGTTTAAACAAATAGTGCGTTATGCTCACATATCCCTCTAGCTGTTGCGCAAAATTTACATCAAAAGCCAGCCGGCAGGGTCACCTCCGTTACCTGATCAATATCTTGCTGCCATATCATCGAAATCACAGGTTCTCGACGCCATGAAACTCTGGTTGACGAAGGGTGGCGGAGCTCAAGATGTATTGGATGACTCTCAGCTCCTTCAAGCACTTCGAGCCTTTTTTGCCAGTTCTAGTGATCACATCATTCATTCTTCCGCCGCCACCTTCGAGAACCCAAGCTTGGGATAACATGACCGAATCACGGCAAGCCCTTGAACAACTTCTGCTATCTCAGACAATGAGGCCATCGACTTCTCCAACCCAAACTGTTTCTCGAAACGCGGTAACCACGACCGAGTCTCGCGTACGGAACTTAAGCACTAGATAGCCTCCGGATATGGATCGCATGAGCCCCAAGGAGTTTGTTGACAATATCGACGGGATGGCATTTGCGGCCTTCAACAATGTAACAGAAGAAGTAAGCATTCTTAGTACCATTCCCCTGCCTTGCCACCAATCAACTGGTGATCTTTTTCTTTTAGGACCTTTACATCACATCCGACCTCTGGAGGTGCAAGGTACTGATCGAACTGGATGGTTCCCACCGCGAGAGGCGTCGTCACTGGATGAGTATATCGAGATACAAACTATTCACAGCCATATTCAGGACGTAGAGCCATCCTCTCTCATATCCGAACTTTCACCTGAAAGCTTGTACCGTCTTCTTCCCCCTGGTATTCGAAGCTGCATTCGAGCACACTCAATCATACGGAAATGGCTGATTTCGAAAATTGTCGCTCCCCGTATAGGTCTCCGCGCACGTCAAATGCGAATAGAGTTTTTACTGCAAGTCATTGAAGTCGCTCGGCTGCGTAATGCGGAGAGTTCTTCACCCAATTCTGTCTATGAGCAGCCCTGTGTTCGGTCTTTCGTAGAAGCAGCGGTGACATCCGCCATCCTGAGTCCTGAATGCAGAATGCACCACCGAGCATGGCAGAATGTTTCTGCTAGTCAATGTTGCAATTACGACACAATTTCTCAGCTGCTTGCACGACCCAAAACTCAATCTGTCGCATCTAGAGATCCCTTAACTGTGGACATGGGCTGGCTGATAGAGCGGATTCTGGACGTTATTGCCATGCCCGATCTTGTTGAATCTCATAATGAAGAAGGGCAAAATCTCGTTAACTTTGATAAACGCCGGTCAGTCTGGTTTTCAGTCTTTCAATTCTTCTGCTGAGCTGTCGGTAATGATTCAGTAATCTCTGCAACTTCATATCCAACGCACCGTCACTGCTCTCGCAAAGGCTTGCTCATCGGAATGATATCAACAGACGAGGCTTCGAATGTCTCAACAACATTGAACGCGAAATTTTCTCCATTCAATCTGATATCCGCGGAATCAAGGATGAGGCATATCGGGAGGGCGCTGCTGCGAACGCTCCCGGGACACCGTCAAAAAAGATTTCGTGGCCCTTTCAAAGACTTGTCGCTATTCAGATGGACAAACATCGGCGGGACAAGAACTTGCGAGCACATCTACAGAAAGAGAAGACGCAGGAACAATTTCGTAATGAAAAACGAGAAGAGCAATTGGACAAAGCGATGAAGGGAGGACGAAGACCGACTTCGGTTGCACAGAAGCAGCATCGCAATAAGAAAAGCATGTCGTCGCTTTTCAGTTTTATGCGACTCATTTCCAGTGCATTCGGTGTCGATAATTCTCATTCCCCTGTCCTAAGGAGAACCGCCTCTGAGCTTGAATTTACTCCTTCCGGAAAGCCAACATTAGTTGTGAACCTCATGGATTCCAGCGTTAACCATTTCATCAACAACGAACGTTCTTTCACCTTTAGGCTCGATACTGAGGACGGCGGTCATTATCTTCTTCGGGGATAAGCGGTGGAATCTTGACCCGCTTTCTTTGTGTGCTGTTCGATTGGAAGTCTCCACTCAGGACGATTACCAAAAGGCCTTTAGAGCAAAGACTTTTCGTGCCAGTGCTCAACTTGATCCCTTCCAAGCACTCACATGGGCGATGCTAGAGCTGCAAGCTGATTGCTTGGCGAAGGTACGCTGAATGCGGACATACCCCCTACTCGTCTAACTGTGCTCTCGTATTGTAGCTTTATCAACACTTCGAATCCAACCCCGTGTCGTCAACCCAACCGCAATCAACACAATCGAGCAAACGCCCTCGTCTACTCGAGAACCCTGTGACATCCCTGCTAAAATCTGTGCAGCAACCTCCCATGCGCATCTACAATTTACAAATACTCTTGTTCTTCATTGACCGACATTGGAATACTCCACGTGAATCTATGCAATCAGATATCATTCGCACTCTTCTGGATCATGTAACCAATGATGACGGGACTGTGCAGAGCTGGGCTTTCGTATGCCTTGCTGCTCTAGCATCTGCGGATTGCGATAATGCTGCCAGTCTTCTCTCTTCTCAAACACTCTCCACCTCTGCCGTTCCTCCAACTACCATCCAGACGAGATACATGACGAGTGTCTCTACCCGAGGTGCTTCCACTTGGGATTCTGTATGGACACATGCGATTCGCCGTACTAATTCACAGAATATCGCCGGTGGCGTCGGCGTCCCGTTTGTCCGTTGGTTTGGGACCGAATGGTACCTTCTCTCGAGGACCTTTTCAATTTCTGTAATAGGAAGTATGTCGTGCCGCTTGCCACACCGCGAGTATCTTGCTCGTTTACGCTAACACTGGCTCTGCCCGACAATCGCTCGTCAGATCTTCCCTTACCTCTCATCGCGTTCTTTCCGAAATCGAAACTCTTGCGAAGGATCTAGATGTTCAAGGTCCCGTTGCCCCTTTCGATTCCGTTTGCACGTTTCTTTCGCTTTGCCTGAAAGTCGCAAATCAGGACGTTCGCCTGTACCGTATGCAGCTCGAAGAAAAGGTTTTAACTTGGCTGATGCCAAGCTACCCTCTGTCAAGTTTGATGGTAGTTGCCCAGAGTCTGCATCCCCCAACGAATCTTCGGACTTGAGAAATGCCACTTTCATGGCGCCCATCCCCGCCGAAACGGACCTCGTGCAGCCGCAGTCCAGAGAACGTAAAATCTCGGTGTTCTTCCTAAAATGCCTCGAATCAGCTCTATCACCATGGCAGGAAGGTTCAGACAATACCATAGTCCTTAGGGCTCCTGCGGCCAAGAGGGCTTTAGATATTGCTGTGGTCGGCCTGTCTTTTGAGTTCGTCCTTGTTCTGAACGGTATACAGAGCAATAGACGTGTCATACAGGCAGCTTGCAAGTTAATCACCTTGATTGCCAAATTACTTGATCAGTCTCAGTGGAGTATAGAGGAAAAAGGCGCCGTCCTTCTCTCATTGGAACCTTTAGTCTGCCTTGACGCCGAAACTTACGATGTTGCTTCTTGGACTGTATTACTGCCACCGACCCGAGGTACCGGGATCCGTTCTCAGACTCTGAAATCTCTCCTGTCAAATGATGACAGGCGGCAGAAAACGTTGCGATTGGAAAGAACGAAGCATCTCAAAACATTATGGGGGAACCCTGACGTGAGGGGCGTTATTCAACCGTTATGTTATCTAATCATTTCATCCAGGTACAAGCCACCTTTAGTGGCATCTCAGAAGTCTTCAAAGACATTCTTAGAGTCGTGATGGGCCAGCCTTCGAAATTGCCCGCTGACGCCATGGTTGTTGATGACAGCTTTAGTACTGCTGGTCGCAGTCCATCGCAATCATTGGGAGCCACATTGGGTACCGCCGCTCAGATTTCGGCAACCCGCCAAGTTGCAGGCATCTCTATCCTGTTTTTATCTGTCGGTCCTCTTTTGCAGCAAAGCAAGTGCTGTCGAAGCGGGACATAACCAAGTGGATCGATACTCTTGCCAGGGTCTCAAAAATAGTGGCAAAACGGCGGCTCACTTACATCGGGAATTCTCCCAAGCCTCAGATCGCGGACCATATTCACAACCAACCCGTCACCGCTACCAGGGATCCTAAAGCAGGTAAGAGTGGTTTCTTTCTGGTGCTATCGTTGCTCATTGGCGATCACCTCAGTGTTTGGTGTAGAACTGAACTTCTTGCTGGAGCGAGAGTACGGTGGTAGTCCAGTACCTCCAAGGACCATACCGTTTGTCGTTGAACCATCCTTGGCTCAGGTGGAAGCCCGAGGTATGATGGAAATTGGGATCTGCTAGTATTTTCATGTCTTACATCAATATCATCTGGAGCAGTTAACCAATCGAACGGTACAAGTTCCAAAATTGCTTGCCTTCAAGAAGCTTTCAAACAATCGTAACTCGGGGAGGAAGTGAATATGGAGGAAATCAGGGACCACCGAGAGAGATTTGATATTCGTATATCCTAGGTCTAACTAAAGTCCACAATTCTAATGGGAGTCCAACGTTCCCTTTGTACTTGGGAGGAGCATAGGTTTGGCGTAATGTTTACTAATGCGGATTCTGGAGTAAGGGCGCTCGGCAAATTCCTTGAAAAGTTGCGGGCAGGGTACAATTTCCTCGGATCTTTCCGAGAACTTGTACCGGTGGGAGTTTTGTGGAATCGTTGTTTTCTTACCGTCATGAACCGTCGAAAAGTCTTAGGCTTAAAGCGTTACGCCAAAACTATTGGCAATGGCCTGCTTTCTAAACTCAGATCTGCTGGTCCTCGGGTGAACCCAGCCTCTCCTTCTTCGTACCAGCCTTCGATCCTATCCGATCCTCCCCCTTTTTCAATTCCCCCTGGGTGCATTAAGGATGGTAAAAAACTCGATTTCCCCAGTACTCGAGACCCGTATCTTCCTGCAATATATGAAGTAAAATCCCATCCTCGGATCCCCAAAGATTTAAATCAGAACGTCATCAAACGGATTCTCATCGTACCTTGGCCTAAGGGCGACGCCCAATTCCTCAAATTCTACTTTAACCATGCAGAAACTAGAATCAATATTCCTGGTGGACGGAATTCAAGTATTCCTGCCCTTGGTATGCTCCATGGCCTTTGCCTCCTAGTCTTATCTGATCATTTGTTAGGGTGGGGGAAACTCGAAGTTGGCGACATAGTCTTTACCCGGGATGTTGCGGGGTCTGGAGATGGCATGGATGATATGTTTGAGGTATATGTTGGAGAGATGTACGTGAAGTACATGCCTCTGGTTCATCTTACCTATGCTTATCAACCTTTATAGAGATGAAGAGAGTGAAGAGGGGAAGTTAATCAAGAATCTTCGAGATGAAACGCTTGGTCCTGAAGCCGAACGTTGCACAAATGGCTGTACTGCATTTGAGAAATGCAGTAAACGTGCCAATCCTGTGGGCGGTTCAGGCCACTGCTACAGCTGCGGCATAAGTCACCAAAAGCCCAGGAACTTGGTAACGCCTTCTGTTGGGGGCAAGATACGGGGAAGTCTCAGCACTGAAGAGGAGGAGCATATCCAAATGCGGCGCAATCTTGTGACGGTTTGTCGATTATCTATTCTCACAATGCAATACCAATGTTGGTTACCAATTAGACAACCATTAAACTTGCCGTGAATATGTTCCGACGTATACTACCAACAGAATACAAAATTCTAGAAGATGCCTGCGAGCTCAATAATGTACCGCGGATTGGCACGGATGACAATGCTCTCTATCAGGGCTTACAGCTTAATGTTTCGCAACCTGTACATGGTGATGGACTAAGTACGTTGTTGCGTATGATACTCAAACTAACTACCTCATGCAATTGATTGTGCAGTTATCAACTGCATCAAGGCTCTTGCCTTTTTTGGTGGCAAACACTTTGACCGACACGACTCTGCAGGTGGTTGGACTACGATGTTTGCTTATCCCGATATACCAACGGGAGAAGGATGGGAGGGAGGGAGATTTCATCTGGTCGAGTTTGGGCTATACGTCGAACTTGATAAAATCAAATCTATAACATTTTCAGGGCTTCGTCTTCATGGTGGTACGCCTCCATTAGCGCCTGTTGGAGTTCCGATTCCTCCTTCCGCCTACCGATGGGTAGTTGTACTTTATCCTCAAGGTGCTATTCTTGATGGCCGAGTAACAATGAATATTGCTGCGGGTCCCAACGGAGTGCCAATCCAGTTGACGCCAGAAATGACAAATGCAACTGTCCATGTACCATCAACTGAAGAGTATGTTTTTTCCCTGGCTATAAGTTATCAGACTCTTACTTGTACTGTTCTAGCACTGACGGGTTGATGGCTGAAGAGGATGAGGAAGAGTATGCTCTAACTTAAATGAATCATCTATTACACTTATAAGTCTTAGGCCAGATTTGCTTCATGCTTCGCCCAAAGAGCTAAACTTCCTAGATGATGGAAAAGTTATCATGACTCCTCAAGCTGAAATAGATTTTCTCGCCCGAGCTTTCTTCCTGCACACATTATATCATCAGAGGCAGATCATGGGTGGAAATGTATTGAAATATGATCATTATCGTCAAGGCTGGTCTATGCAGCGGGATGGTATAACATTCTCTGCTGGTCCTTGGTCTTTGGCACCAGATGGTCTTGAGCTAACTAACCATGCTGGTATGATGACGACTATCACTTGAGCTTAGAATCTTAACATCCTTCACAGATTCCTCACCCCGTCAAGCTGCCAGAGAACGGTGGTATCAACACTGTAACAAGAGGCTTGAAGCGATATCCTCTACTTTCCGTAACTTCAAAGCTCCTCCCATCCGTAAGCAAATTGACTTTTGGTGCAATTCTCTGCTTCTCTATCTATAACAAACAGGAATACCGGTGCCTCAAACTTTTAAAAAACGGTCTCGGACAGCACGCGCAGCTGCTGCACAAGCTGCTGCTCACAAGCGAAAGGTAGTATATCAGCTGAAGGCCCGATCAAAGAACCGAAAATCGAAATCGAAATCAACAGTTTGTATGTTTTTATGGTTCAACTACGTTGCCATTGACTCATTTAACTCCTATTTTCCAGCTGAAATTATACATGCTGCTCAAAAAGCTCCGCAAGCTATTGAATTCAATCAGGAAGTGGCCATACAAAACTTGAATAAAACAAAACGAGATCTAAATGTGAACGATAAGGGACAACGGAGAAGTAAACGGCTCAAGGAAAACTGCGATAATGGTATGAGTCAGAAAATAAATTCGACTGAAGGAGTCTAATCGATAGGCGTTGCAGCAATAGCTCAGGAATGCCAAGTAGCCGAAGAAGAGCAGGAGGAGGACCAGGTATACGAACTTCGAAATATTATATCACACCGCATTTGCACTAAGGCTGTAAGTACTTACATGTTCTTCTGAATTATTCCTAATGCTCGATCTTCAAGTGCTGTAACTACGAATACTATGTTGAGTGGGCTGACAAGAAACCTGGAACAAAAGAATGGATACACGAAAGCCAGATTGAGTAAGTATAAATTATTCATAAGCTAAGTTTTTCTGATTTAAATCTTCAGTATGGGAGATATGTACACCGCTTATCGGCTTAATGCATTCACGCAAACGGTAGATGGTAAGCTCAACCAAACATTGATATGCGGGGTTATTGCTCATCATCTTTTTCTTGATAGTAAATATGGGTTCAATTGGTGGGACTTACGCATACTATATGTATCTGGGATCTGTAATCTAACATCTCCATAGATGACAATGAGCAGCCTCGTAACAATCGCAACGGCGAACCGCCAAATGAAGAGAATCGTTCAAGCGGTAACCAAATTTTGTTCTCTTGAGCACAAATGGTTCTCATTATCATTTCCCAGATCCCTCGCCTTTTCATACTAAAGCACTGGCAAGCCATCTTGTTCCATTCCTCTTCAATGACTACTAAAGTGGTATATAGCCATTCCATTCCTGATGCAACTCTCAAAAGAATCCTTAACTTACACAATTCAGCTTTTCAATGAGGGCCTATCGAGTATGAATGCAACGCAGGGCCCAAGTATTCAAGACTTATTTTTGAAGATCAATCGCTTTCATGTTGCACTCGAACGTTCTCCTCTCGACTCCAGAACAATGAAAGCGGCAGTAGATGTTTGGCCCTCAATTAATTTACTCCTCGAAAACTCCAAGATATATGATGCAGGTGCCCACATATTACACTATACCATTATGCTTTCACACTATCGACTTTACACTTGGGTTTCGGAGTCCATTGAACATGTACTTGATCATCCCTCGTCACACTGGTGGTACCGTCTTATCAAGACCGTCGGAGAGGTAGTGGAAAGTGGGAATCGTGGCATGTTTTACTTTAACTCATCGGATTTCCTACCTACGATTGAACCCCCAAGAACTTATTTGTGGAACTTCCATGGAAGGCAACATGATCAGCGCAGCGCTAATAGCCTTCTTAGTTCGCGCATTATCTTTCACTGGCTTGGCTTGCCAATAGAATCTGATGACAAACACAATGTGCAGTCGTTGTTCCTGAAGAGCCTCATGGACTCTAGTGCTACTGCGAGCATTTTATTGCTTGACGAGGTCTGGCTGCATATAGCACTCCTCGTAACCTCTGTAGCGCTCACTCAAAACGAGGGTATCCTTCAAAAACTGCCATGAAGAAAACTTGGCCAAATGTTTCTTGACCATCCAATTTTAGGCCGTCATCGTTCTTTGGAGATTCAACAGCTTATTGATTTGCTCCAAGCTGCTCATCGCCGAATCATGGGTCTTCCGACCTCCCTTAATTCCCCATCTTCGGCAATATTTGCAGAATCACCTTCCACTCCTCCTCTTCTTCCTCCACATACAACTTCAAACGATAACATCTCATATCGGATTTCTCCAATCGCATCCTTAACGTCTGTTCGAGAAAATAATCGCGTCATTTTCTTTCGCGATTGGCTCCTCGAAATCGCCGAGGCTTATATGCAGTTTCCACCGCTATCTATGGACCAACTCAAGCTAGAGCAGCGTAGGATCCTTGAAAATTCAGATTCATCTTGTCCATTCCGGGAGCTTGCATCCTCTCGGAAGCAGGTCTCAGGTCCAAATGGATTATTCGCACATCACTCCCGCGAAGGCACGTTCAGCGCATTACTCTTCCGCGGCGTACTCTTCAATACAGAAGCTTTACAAGAAACTGGACATACTGGGTTTTTTGAGTCCCTTGAAGCCTGGTCCCAGTTTAAAGCTCTTTATGCAGATCGAGGGGAAAATTTATATGCAACCCTTGTGCATACGGTACAACCAGAGGACGGACTTCCTCTAACGATGTAAACTTCTGGATTGGAAGTGAGATACTGGAGGAAAAGCTGCAAGATCCGAATGTCTCATTTACTAGCATCTGGCAATTTATTGTCCATGCTAAGAATGACAAGAAGAACAAACTCTTCCCTTCGTTTGGAGATCTTTCAGCATATCTGCTTACGGTCGACCTTACTTATGCTCATCGCATCCCTTGGCCAAGCTTGGATGAAGTTGCGCATGCCATATACGTTCTCGCTAAAGGTGCCCTGCATGGACTGCAAAAAATGGATCTAGTCCCAACAGATACTTATAGCGAAATCAGGTCAAAGAGGGTTTTAAAAGCTTTGTATAGGTTTCTAGATGAAGATGCGAAGTTCCAAAAAGTCAAACAGACTGTTTATATTTGATCCATTTATGGTGGAACATGCACTATGCAAGATCAGTAAAGATCGAGTATATGAAAGAAGTAAGTTGTAGGATATTTGTAGTATTTTGCTTATGTACTGCATTCTATCGGAATCTGCTGCTAAAACTTGATCTTTTTGTCATTGGTGAAAAGAAATTGAAACGGATTATGCAAGCAAAGGTAGCCCATTCAATATTGCCTCGATAAAGATAAAATGTAGAGCGGTAGGTAGCGAACAATTGAAGAGACAAGATTTTGCTTTAATGCACCTCGACCGTCTCCTCAACCATTTCCTGCGCTGCCGGAATTTCATCCTGCATCAATGGCTTGTCGCATCTAATGGTGAACGAGAGTATACCATTTGACAAGACGGCGATAATGTCGCACAACTAGGAAAGTGTTTGAGCAGCCAGAATAAACTTATTGCCATAGACTTACCTGCGTTTTAGCTGGAATTCGTAGAACGCGATAAAATTCACCATGAGCCCTTTCCATTGTTGCTTGCAACGGTGCTGACATCGTATCATAAGGAGCAGCAATATACCCATGAAATTCTCTGGAACTGCGTTGCAAGTCCACCGGTGGGCTAAGTCTTGGCGGAGCCAGAGAATTCTCATGAATGCACAAGCCAAACTTTCTTGGAACGCGCCAATTAGGAGCCAACGACATTCCCCAAACCACAAGGTTCCGTTCCTTAAATATGGATGAATAGGCGGTGATGACCTTGAGGTGCTGACGTTGCACGCCAGGCAGTTCTACGTCGTAATGTAAGATGTGGCTTTGGCAGTCATATTGGGAGTCAACCCGAGGCATATAGAGGGTAGATGAAAGCTGGCGAACAAAAAGCAAGGTAGAATCAAAGTTGGTCGGGTGTTTCATTTCTTCGGTGAGGGGAGAACGATATTTGGAATTTGGTTTGGGTAGAAGATTAAATACCACAAAAGACACGTGTATATGGAAATAATCCAACGATAAAAAGGTGGTAGGCTCAGATAGCTTATATAAAGTTTGAATTGACAAAAAATGGCAAAAACGCCGACAGAGATTGTGGAGAGGGTCACAAAATCAAAATCAACCGTTTGTTCCACTTTAAACACAAAGATGTAGATGAAATGGTATAAAGTAATGCATAAGCTTCAAACCATATTGTAAGTACCAGCATTATCCAACATCTGCACAAGAAGCCAATGATGAATTGCAACCCGAGGGTTCCCAAGTTCTACGTTTGGATCGTAAGTACTTTTGAGCAGCTTGATTAAATATGAGGCTGGTAGTCTCATCGACCTGGAACAGGTCCGGAATGAGCAGGATCCCATTAAAAGATATAAATCGGAGTCATCAATATCGCTAGGGAGATATAGTACATCGTCATCTTCAACTAGAACGATCTTAAATGGCATAAATATCAGTCGACTTGATTTCAAGATTAGATACTCACTTGCATTGGCTCCCCTTCGAGCAATACCCTGGTAGCACCTGTCACAGCCCAGCACATTAAGCGCATGCGGAATGTTGGAGACCGTAGTCCCGATAAGCAGGTTTTGACCTCGGGACTGAATCTATCCATCATACTGGCCAAAAGCTCCGGACACGGTGCTCCAGTACCGGCAAGAAAATCTTCTATAATGTCTTGAAAAGTCTTCCCAGTAAATTGAGGACCAGCAGCGCTGAGCGCTTGGGCCAGTTCATCCAATGATGGCTGCTTGAGATCACAAGAGATGCTGATGTTTAGAGAAGCAAAATCGCGAATTGTAGACATTTCCGCAGTTCGAATAAATTCTTCAGGTCCCCCAAAGAAGCTGCGCACAATCTGCAAAATAATATTAAACTCTTGATACTAGGCGTACTTCTTAGACTTACATCAACAAGATCGATCCCTGTAGCACAAGGAAGTAAGAACCCCTTAAGAAAAGCAGCAAAATAGGCGTTATCAATGTCTATGGGACCAATGACAACATTATGAAGCATTTCCCATGCAAGCTTGTGGTGACCAGCTTCTGAACGTCCATGCAAGACTGCAAGCTATGGTAGACATTAGTTGAGTACAAATAGAAGATTCTGAGCGTCGCACCTGTATATTGTGATATGAGGCAAAGTGTGAACTGAATTCCGCAATGCTATCCATCGGCCCAATATTCAACCAGCGCTCTAGCATCTCACTGATTGAAGGCAAATAGGAGGAGACCAACTCATGATGAAGGCAGGATATGTTACAATCATTGAGGAGATAAATGAGGAGAAGAGGATTCAAGTGTCCCGGGTAGTGTCCATAATGAGAGCTAATCCAGTTGCAGCCCCAAACAGAACCAGTTCATCATGCTTATTGGATGATATTTGCAGGTCGGCAGATTGGAGCGTCGTGTATTCCCCATAAAGTGGAGTACAAAACTCATGCTCACGTTCCTCAAAAATCGACGGAAGACCTCGGTAATGGCTGATTGTTCAAGACCAGGCCCTGAAGAGATATAATCATCGTGTTCATCGACGCTAGCAATGCAGTAATTCAAATCAGCAGTGTTTTGGCTAAAGGATACAATCTTACCAAACAAAGTGGCGGTTTGGAGATAAAATTCGACTCCAATCTCCACTTTGTACGGAGATTTTCATTTGAGCAATAAATTCTGTTGCCAGTTCTTGTTCATTTGTACCCTTTACCTGAAGGCCAGGACAGACTAATTCTCCACGGTGTACCTCTGCAACAATTTTGAAAATAGCTTGGGTGCGTTCATCGTCAAAGAATACAGGAATGAAATCAAGAGGGACGGGCTGT